CAGGCAGGTTTTACATACTGGGATTTCTTTCAATTCCAGATTTGGCTAGGAAATAGGGCTCTCTACATTTTTTTTTAATGAGCATCCACTAAGCAGCTCTGTCCTTCATCTTTGTATCTACTGTAATGACTGTAACTACAGACAGGGTTCATGTGATAGTAAAAATTCAGGCTTTTTCTTCTAATACTGAGGAAATTTTATGCCGTGCACACATGTTCCTATCTCCTTCTGTACTGCTGGAAGAAGCTGCCATTAGCAGGACCTGGATTGGTCAGCAAGTCTGCTTCTTCAGTTTCCATCACTCCCTGTGCCTTTGCTCAGATGGATCCTTCTCTCAAGCTCTTTGAAAGAACAGCCTATGTCGTACTTGTTTCCTGAATTCTTTTCCACGTGGATACAGATCTATAGTGACTGTTCATCATCAGTGTCATGATCGCTGTCATCATCGGGGTGAGCTCCTGCCCTCACAGGGCTTACACATACTAGATGCTCTATAAACGTTTAAAGCATTAGTGTGCACAAGATGGGAAGCCAGCAGACGTTTGGTGAATGAGTGAAGGAATGAATGAGTTTCCAACTCTCCTCTTTCAATAAAGCATAATTCTGGGTTTATTTCTTTTTTTAAGCAGCCTTCCTTCAACTCTCTGGGAAGGTATGTCTTTGCCTGAAAAGCAGATTCTACATAAGCCTCAGACTCCTCTCACCCAGACTCCTAGCAGCTATTTCACTGGACTCACTCTCTCTTCTCTCTTCAGTTTCTCCCTCTCCAGTTGTATGCATCACACCACTGGTCCATTCCCTCTACCTACACCCAACAGAGAGGGGAGGAGAATGAGGCAAGAGAGTCACCTTAGGCACAAAATTTAAAGAGGCATCATCCTCAGGGCCATGTATGTATGAGAGTGCCATCTCAGAGGAAGTAATGTACATCTAATCCACACATACCCTCAAACCCAGTCTTCCTGTCACCTCACAGCAACTGCTGCCTAAGCCGGTTGGCATGGAGTGGGTGGGCAAGGGCTCTCTCTCCAGGGCAGCCTTTCAAGCTGGCCAGTGCCTGATGGCATGGTGTTGGCTGGCAGATCATGCAGGCAGCTGGTTGGTATAAGTGAAAGTAGATACAAAGACTGAGCTTAGGTTGGGTTCTTCCTGCCCTCTCAGCCCCCATCTGGCAGCACTCCCTTGAAGCAGTGCCCAGAGGCTCACTCACTCTATCCTTCTTCCTCACCCTTTGCTCCTAAAAAGCCTCATGAGTGCCCTTCTTTTCTGTCTGGGGCTCTGCCTCTGCCTCCTTCCCTGCCTGGCTCCCTTCTCTCCTCAAATATCCTATCTTTTTGTCCCTTCTCCACCTCTCCCCCTGGGAGAAGTGTGGCCCCATTCTGCCCTCAGGCCAATCTAAGGAGCAGGGACAAGTGTGAGTGGGCAGGGAAAGGGTATCTGCCTGGTGTACCTTTCAGCCCCAGCCAAATTTCACCTGGCCCTGAATCTCTGCACCAAGCAGCTCTGGGGTTAATGTGAGCTCAGGTGGCTCTTTGGCCAGTTAACACATGCTCCCCACCCCCAGCCTGCAGGGAAGATGGGCTGAAGGATGGAGTTACTGTGCCTGCCTGGGCTTCCAGAAGGGCCCGAGGAAGTCTGGGAAGCAGCCCTGCTGCCAGCTGCTCTCTTAATTAAGGAATGCGGGCGGGGCCCTTTTGAACTCACCACCTAATTTACTCCAGCACAAGCCCGCCTCCCCCTGTGGGGGTAATTACTGTGGTCTGAAATAGTGTTTAGCAGTGAAGGGGAACCTGGCTCTGCAGACTTAACCCTTCCTGCACCCTACTCTGTTCATTTCTCCAGTAGTCACACACCCTGAAGAGTTTCCCTTTGGGGAGATGGGATCTTTTCCAGTTCTCCCTGACCACCTCCTTCCGTTTCCTCGACTTCCTTGAAATTCCTCTCAAGGAAAAGGGCAAGGAAGATTACAACCCATTTCCTGCTTCCATGGACCACTCTGAGTACCGATTCTACTAAGAAATGTGACTGCCCACTGTCTCCCCCCAGGAAATGCAGCATCCATATTTCCAGCATTCCCATGGCCGTCCAGTCCCGGACCTAACACTTCAGACTCACTCAGTCCACTTTGACATATGGAGGGTACCACCACAGGGAAAGCTTGCCCTGGGCGACATAAGGGGGCAGAAATAAAGGAGGCCTAATCCTTGCCTCACGGAGTCCCCAACTGGCAGGAGAAAGTGGGAGCAGGGGCTGCTCACACTGCTACATGCCTTACTTGCCTCTACCTGGCACTCCCCTCCTAACCTCTCTCTAGCCATTTGGTAGGAATGGTTAATGTTTTTGAGTGCTAACTATGCACCAGACTTATATGTGCCGCACTTGCCACACTGATTGTAATTACTGGGTTACATATTGTCTTCTCATCAAAACTGCAAATTCCTTGAGGGCAGGGGCTATGCCTTTCATCTGTGTGTCACCAGCACCTGGCTCATAAGTAGATGCTCAATAAATATCTGACATATGAGTGACAGAATTGGCAATGGAGTTATAATGATTGCCCTCCCTTGGCCTCTCTGCCCCAGAGCCAGGCAGCTTCTGTCAGAACTCCTGCTCTTCCCCTTTCTCTCTAGAGAGTTCCCTCCTTTTTCAGTCAGGACCATCAGGACAGCTGCTCCCAGGCTTCCTTGCCTCTTCTTTCTCACCCAACCTACCCTGCATGCTGTCCTCCCACCAGCCAGGTAGCTCCAGCTTAAAATGGGCAACAGTCCCCTCCCTTCAAGCAGTGCTGCTCAGAGCCTTCCCTCAGCCCCACCAGCTTTAGAATCAGCTGGAGTGGAGAGCTTATTAAACTACTAACCCCTGGGCTCCCTCCCAGCCCCGGTGATCCAGAATCCCTGAGACTCCAAGTATTCCATAAGGCTGAGAGCAACTGGTTTCCAGAATAAAAGCCTAATATTTAACCTAATATTCGAGGCCTCTGGAATCTGACTCCCAACCTCCCTCTGCATTCTCAACCACTTCAGTCCTGGAAGATTCTTCCCCATGGTCCTTCATCGTCCCTAGAGCCCACTTGGGACTTCCCACTGCCAAACCTTACACACGCAGCTCTCCTCTCATACTCAGAGCCAACCCCCAACCATTTTATCAGCTTAATCGAATAGTGCCCATTTTCAAAGTGCAGTTTAAATGCCATCTTAAAGAAGCGTTTCCTGCCCACATCTCCAGAGACCTCTTCCCCATGCCCTCCAGCAGCATGGACAGCCTGTGCTGCCATAGGCACAGAGCTGTGCCTTCCTGCCATTGGCTTTCACTTCTCCAACAGATCTTGTTTCCATAATGTGGTTGTGGGTCCTGGAGGGGAGGATCCCCATTGCAGAACCCTTCTGCTCACCCCACTGTGTCTGCCTGGTTCTCAGCTCGGTCCAGAGCAGAGCACCCAGTTTGAAGACAGGTCAGAAACAGTGCAGGACTAGACACTGCAAGCTACACTAGGGACACACGGGAATTTTCTTCATCTTCTCCCTGACTTAACAAACCAAGTTACTCAAAGTGTGAAGAGAAACAGGGTGAGCAAGGGTGACTGTGGCAAAATGGACCACACTCTTGAATCTCAAGACCTCTGAGAGCTGCTATCCTCACGCTGGTTTTCAAATTCCCCATCTCTCACAGGGCAATCACGTGATCCCCTCAAAGAAGAGTCTTCGGGCTTCCAGGGAGCAAGTACATAAGTATGTCTAGAATTCATGTGCTCATTTAATAAATGTTGATTAGACATCCCTGATGTGTCCAGCACCAAGAGGAGCACAGAAATGAATAGCAGACCTTGCCGGCCAACAGCCTGTGGAGACAGAAAACTTAGAAAACAATGCACTAAGAAGAGGAGGTTCCTCACTCTGCTGGGATCCTGGCTGGCTACACGGCCCTGCCAAGTCTGAAAAGACAAATGGACCAGCATGCCTGGTGGAAGAACAAGTGCAACGCCTACAAGTGTGAAATTGGTAGTTGTGAGAGGAGATGGTTCTGGCTTGGTATGGCTGCAGACCAAAAGGGACATGGGAGACCAGCCTGGAGAAGAAGGCTGGAGTGGGACTTAGGAGAGCTGTCTGCTAAATCAAGAGTTTAATCTTTAGCCTGAGGGCAGCAGGAGGCCAGGAAGGATTTTTAAGCAGAGGAGAAATGACGATGGGAATGGCAGATTAGAGGGCTCTCTGTGGCTGCACCCAGAAAGGCAGACAGCTTGGGGCAGGGTGGGAGGCCTGGCGAGAGAAGAGGGGAGGATGTGGGCTTGTGTCGGGGCGCTTGTTGCTTGCAATTGCATGGCCAACCAAAGGCACTGTGAAAGAGGCTGACTTACAAGAAACAGTTCCTGAAAAAGCCCAGCGAGGCCTGCAGCCAACTTCCACTTTACTCTGGATATTTTCACTTTTGGGGCATCTTGTTCTGAGTCAAGTTTCTTCCTTCAGGACATGGGACTTTCCAGAAGGACCACAGCTCCTTCCGTGCATTCACTTGACCAGGGATATTCTGAATTTGGGTTGTTGAGAGAGTTAGCCTGCCTCTCTGGAGAAGGATGGCCGCACAGTACCTGTGGAGTCTGCTTCTCTGGGCAGGTAAGCGGGACAGGAGAGTAGCCCGTCCTCAGAGAGCCAAACCCCCCCTGCCAGCTGCTCCTCACCAGGCATCTTAGCAGAATCCCCCATCCCAAGTGGCTGAGGAGAGGTAGGAAAGACTCAAGCAATTTGGGGACAACCTTGAAAGCTAGGTAGAGGCAAAGAGATTCAGAGTCCTGGGTAGAAGGAGGCGGCAGCACTGGGAGCATCCATGTCCATGACACTCGAGCTGTTTGGTGGCCCAGGACAGTTAAAATTGAAGCTGGTGGTACCAGTGGTTTGGAAAGAGATAATGTGATAATGGTAAGGGTCTGGCAGTATTAAACCAAAGGAAATTCTAAATACAGTCTGGGAGAGAAGGGATGGGCAGAGCAGTGCAGGGCTCTTACTCTGGGGACTTTTTCCAGCAGCTTGTGGGAAAGCTGAGGCCCTTCCTGAAGTCTAAGGGGAGGTGGATGCTGAGTGGGGATGAGAGGAGAGAACAAATTAAATGTAGCACATGTGGACATGGGGTGGCGATAATGGTGTGATGGGATGCAGACCTGTCGGGTCTCTTCAGCACTGAGCAATCCCTCCATCCTGTCTGGTACCTGACTTCCCTTCCTTGGTGAACAAGTGCTCAGTGTGACATGGGTCAGCACTTCAAAGCCAGGGGATAGGAGTCATGGGGTGTGGCAAAGAGAAAGCAACTTTGTTTACATCAGACTCACAGGAACTTTGAGATAACTTTGTCCATTGTCTTGCCCGGTCCCTGGCCTCAAGGGCTCCAAAGGCTCTGCAGATTTTGACATTTCTAAATATGTAAAGAAAGTCCTTCAAAAAAAAAAAAAGAGAGAGAATCTATTTGGTTCACAAATCTTTCAAATATTGGACATGGGAGGTAAAAATAATTTTTCCAAGGAGTTCTTACCAGTAAATGAGATGAGTGCAACTGAATGGTGAATGTCATTGTTTTACAGATGGGACATCACAAGTCCAGAGAGGGTGGGTGAATGCTGAAGGCCATTTAGCTTATTCTGGGCAGAGCAAGGCAGGATAGAACCTAGGAGTCTTGACTGACACCCAGTGTTCTTTCCTCTCTCTGTTATATCTCCTCTCTGCATTTACCCTGAAGCCATCCAGTCAGGCCTAAGATGATTTGGGCTGGGGAGGGCAGTGAGGCAGACGAGGGGCTGGAGTCACTGGTGGCTGGCCGAGTAACCATCCAGAACACATCTCCTTAACCAAACTCCAGCACTTGGTCTGCTCTTATTCTGCTCTGCACCCCCCTGCTCTGCACCCACCACTGTGCCAGGCACAAGGAAAGCCAGTAAATTCTGCCATTCATTCAGTAAAATTTACTGAGCTTCTCCTATATTCTCCTGAACCTTGATGGGCACTGGGAGTGCAAAGATGAAAAGAGGAACTCGAAGTCTAGTGGGAGACGCGGACTCGTCAATAGGCAATAACAATAGAGATAAGGCATTCATAGTGGGGATCCCACGCCTCTGCGGGAATATGGAGGATGAGTGTGTAATCTGCAGACATGGATGGGAGGTCACAGGACTTGATGCTTCAACGATGCACACATCACGCACACATCTCAAACTCAGTATGTTCCCAGTAAAACCCAGCATCCTGCCATCTCCCCCATCCCCAAATTCTGTTTCTTCTCCTGTTCTAGATCACAGGGAATGGCACCCAGTGGGTCCCAAGGACCTGGGAGCTATATCCTTGACTCCTTTCTCCTTCACTCATCAGATCCAATCTGTTACCAGATCACACTGATCACACATTTTAATCTCTCTCGGTTCCTGCCACCTCTCTCATCCCAGTTGCTCCCCCTCAGTACAAGTTTCCATCACTGTACTTTGGATTAATAGACGCAATCTCAGTCTTGCCCCACCTACGAAGCATCCTCTGCCCCTCTGCCGGAGAGATCAGTCCAATACACATCTAATTGCGTTACTCACCTACTTAAAACCTATCCGAGGGCACCCATTGCTCTAAGGATAAAGCCGACCGTCAATGTACTTTCAGGGCCCTGCATGATCCCTCCAACTTTGCAATGCAATTTCTTTCTTTTTTTTTTAATTAAGTTTATTAGGGTAACATTGGTTAATACAATTATTTAATTTTCAGGTGTACATTATAATTTGACATCTGTATATTCGATTGTGTGTTTACCACCCAAAGTCCAGTTTCCTTCAGCTACCATATATTTGATCCCCTTTACCCACTTCACCCTCCCCTTACCTCCCTATATTTGACTCTCTTTACCCTGTCTGCCTCTCTCCTCCTCCCCCCAACCCCTATCCTCTGGCAACCACTAGTCTATAATCCATGTCCATGAGTCTCTGTTTGTCCTGTTCATTTGTTGATTTTAGGTTTATATTGCACATATAAGTGAAACCACGTGATTTTCAACTTTTTCTGTATGGCTCTGATCGCTTAGCATGATTATCTCGAGGTCCATCCATGCTGTCGCAAATGGCAGTATTTCATCTCTTCTTATGGCTGAGTAATATTCCATTGTATATATGTACCACAGCTTCTTTATCCAATCATCTATTGTAGGACATTTCACTTGCTTCTATGTCCTGCCCACCGTGAATAATGCTGCTATGAACATCGCTGTGCAAATATATTTTCAGATATGGGTTTTCAAGTCTTTGGGATAAATACCCAGTAGAGGGATTGCTGGATCATATGGTAGATCAATTCTTAGTTTTTTGAGGAACCTCCATACTGTTTTCCATAGTGACTGTATCAATTTGCAGTCCCACCAGCAGTGTATGAGGGTTCTTTTTCATCCACATCCTCTCCAGCATTTGTTATTACTTATCCTGTTGATTATAGCTATTTTAACAGGTGTGAGATGGTATCTCATTGTGGTTTTGATTTGCATTTCCCTAATAGCTAGCAATGATGAGCATCTTTTCATATGTTTGTAGGCTATTTGTATGTCCTCTAGGGAGAAGTGTCTGTTCAGGTCCTCTGCCCATTTTTTGATTGGATCGTTTGTTTTTTTTGTTGTTGTTATTGAGTTTTATGAGTTCTTTGTATATTTTGGATATTAACCCTTATCAAAGGCATTGCTTGCAATAAATTTTCCCATTCAGATGGTTGTCTCTTTACCTTGTTGATGGTTTTTTGGTTTGTTTGTTTGTTTTTGTTTGTTGTTTGTTTGTTTGTTTGTTTGTTTGCTAAGCAGAAGCTTTTTAGTTTGATGTAGTCCCATTCATTTATTTTAGCTTTTACTTCCCTTGCCTTTGAGGTCAAATTCAGAAAATCCTCTTTAAGTCCAAGGTCCTTGAGTTTAGTTCCTGTTTTCATCTATGCATTTTATTGTTTCATGTCTTATATTCAGGTCCATAATCCATTTTGAGTTAATTTTGGTGTGCGGTGATTGACAACAGTCTAGCTTCATTCTTTTGCAGGTGGCCTTCCAGTTTTCCCAACACCATTTTGCAATGCAATTTCTTACTCCGCCTACAGATAACTACTTTCGGTTCCCCACGGATCACTCTCTTTCATCCTTCAGGCCTTTATACACGCTATTCCCTGTGCTTGAAACACTTTCCATCCTGCTTCAGGCAGTCCTCTGCTTGGCCTGGCTGATCCCATTCCTCCTTTGGGCCTCAGCTTAACCATTTCTTCTCAAAGCCCATCAAAGCCAGTTAAGGTCATGTTCTCCTAGGCACCCTTTTTCCCTTTTACATGGTACTTAGTATATTTTAATTACTTGCTTAAGAGTCTGGCTTTTTATGTGAGCTCCATGAGCACAGGTACCAAATTATCTTTCTTATTGTTTTATTCTCAGCCCCTGCTACAGTGTATGTACCCTCAACCTGAGTGGAGGGAGTGTGGGAACAGGGGCCCTAATATGCTCCATGGCAGCTCAGCTGTGTACAGGAGAGAAACAAGGAGCTTGGGGCAGGCAGAGTGACTATGCTCTGTTCTTGCAGCACTACTTCCCATTGCGGATATTGGTGCCCAAGTGCAGGGACAGGTAGGGGGCTCCGTACTACTAGTGGCAGAGCACCCCCCCAGCTTCCAAGTCCGAGAGGCCATCTGGAGATCTCTCTGGCCATTAGAGGAGCTCCTGGCCACATCTTTCCGGGGCTCCCTGGAGACTCTGTACCACTCCCGTTTCCTGGGCCGAACCCTGCTGCACAGCAACCTGAGTCTGGAGCTCCGGCCACTGGAGTCTGGAGACAGCGGCAACTTCTCTGTGTTGCTGGTGGACACAGGAGGTCGGGCCTGGACCCAGATCCTGCAGCTCAAGGTGTATGGTAAGTGTGTCTGACACTGGCTCTCTGCCCCACCCTCCCCCACAAAGCCCTGGAAAGGCGTCCTGAGGCCCAGGGGCTGGAAGACTGGGTTCCAGAAATCTCAGGCCTCTGACTTCGTGGCTGTATCAGAGACCAATTGCTGATGCGCAATTACATGAGTCTCCTTCTGGATGCACACATCCATGAACCAGCTGTACACCTTTGCAAGCAGAGTGTTGGTTGAATTTCAGAACCTCCAGCCTCACCTGTTACCACCTTAGCCAATGCCTTGTGTAGTGGATTACCTGTACAATCATACAGGCAGTACTGTAGCCTCTCCCTTTTTCTTAGTTTCAGCTACCGCGCATGTAAAATGAGGACATTAAATGTGATAATACATGCAGCACCCACGCCACTGAGCTCTAAAATGCCTTGTTATCTGCATCTGAATTACAGATTTTAAGGAAATTGCTCTTTTATTGCTTCCAAATATATAGCGTGATTACAACTAATTTCATAAAGCTGCCAGACAGCCATCCTTAGGAGCTCCGCTTTGACAATAGATAAGAAGGATTTGAATTAGCAAACCAGGTACTAGAAATGTCAATGGGTGTTTCTACTACGTCCGTCCATCAGTGTTTGGAAGCAGCTTGTCCTCTTAAGTAGTGTAAACATTCCCCCCTATAATCTTTGTTTATATTATTAGTGTGCCCAGAAAATCTTTTTGTTTTTTTTTCATATCATAAATCCCAGCAGGTTGAATTGGCATTAATGAGGTTTTACTCTGCTTGACTTTAGAATGCTGTCAGACACTGAGCCCTCTTGTTGTCACCAGAATGTTCTCCCGCTGGTCCCCATTGCCACTGAAACAAAGGATTTATTCATCAACCTATATAGGAAAGAGGAGCCATGGCCCAGACATCAGGACACTAATTTGTTCAATGGCCCAGGTAGCGAGCACCTAAAGAGTGAGGGTTATGGAGATAACAAGACATAGCCCCTATACCTTGGTCACCTCCTTCACAGCATTTTGCACCATTGTAATTATTTTTTTAATTATTCATAATTACTTGTCAATATCTGTCTTCCTCACCAAATCTAAGCTTCAAAAGTCCAGGAATGTTTTCTTGCCTGACTTAAGAAAAACTCATTGTCTTTCTGACTATAAAGTGCTATGATAAGGAACAGACAGAGTGCTTGGAGAGCTCAGAACCATACCTGAGGTATCAGGGAAGACTTCACAATCAGGATGGCAAGCAATGTGTCCAAGCTAAGCCCAGGAGTTCTCTAGGAGGATGAGAAGTAAAAGGTATATGTGCACAGTTGAGCCATATAAAAGCATGGAAGAGCATGACATGTTTGAGAAAACTGGAAATTAATTAGGATAGGTAGGGAGGACCAGCAGAAGGGACAGCTAGAGAGGTTGACATCAAGGATACCAGACTAAAGAATTTAGCTTATTTCCTGTGAGCAATGGGAAGCCAGACAGAGTTTTGGAGCAAGAGCAGCCTGGTCAGAGGTGACTTTTAACTGTGCGTGGATCCCAGAGCCAGAGCTGTGAGCCCCACCCAGCATCCTTGTAATCCACACCTGCTCTACTATTCTTGCCCAGATGCAGTACCCAGGCCCATGGTACAAGTGTTCATCGCTCTATCAAGGGATGCTCAGCACCCCAAGACCTGCCAGGCACTCCTGTCCTGTTGGGTCCCCAACATCAGTGACATAACCTATAGCTGGCGACGGGAGGGAACTGTTGACTTTGGTATCGAGCCACATGGCCTCTTCATGGATGGACAGGTGCTGAGGCTTTCACTGGGACCAAGAGACCAGGGCGTGGCCTATTCCTGCATTGTCTCCAACCCTGTCAGTTGGGACTTGACTACAGTCACCCCATGGGAGAGCTGCCATCATGAGGCAGGTACGCCAAGGGTCAGGGGTCAACGTCGGATGGCGAAGCATCAGGTCCACCTCTGACCCTGCCTCTCTTTGTCCTGCACCAGGGAAGGCCTCCTACAAAGATGTACTTCTGGTGGTGGTACCTGTCTCGCTGCTCCTGATCCTGGCTGGTCTCCTCTCTGCTTGGCACTGGGGCCTCTGCGCAGGTGGGAGTCCTGCAGGTGCTGGAGGTGGGTGGAGGAGCTGGATCTACTGGAGAGGAGGACAGAGTTTGGGCTTCCTCCCATTTGTCTTCAGATAGTCTGCTCTCCTTACATCCTGGCCCTATTTGTCTTATATTCTGGCCTCTAATGAGACTGAACTACTTGAAGTTTCTCTTGCAGTTCTTCGAATGGACCAT